TGGTAGATGCCAGTAATCCCAGCTACTTGGGAGGCTGAGGCAGGAGAATTGCTTGAACTGGGGAGGCAGAGGTTGCAGTGAGTCAAGATTGCATCATTGCACTCCAGCCTGGGCAATAAGAGTGAAACTCCATCTCAAAAAAAAAAAAAAAAAGGTCATAGACTCACTAAACAGAAATGGGTATTAGGTATATATTTCTTTGTTTATATACATAGAAATTCTATGTAAATGTACAAAATATGCATAGAGTAAATAAAAAATCAGCAAGAAGGCAGAAGAATCTAAATGCATTTAATCAACTCTGTAGGAAAAGCTAATCACTTGAATGACTTACTGCTTGACACACAATTTTGAAGAAAAGCTCTTTATGCAAACTTGTCTAAAACGTCCTTAAAGTTTAGACAAGATATAGATAGAAATAGAATGGAATAAAATATTTTATTTCTATAGATAGAAATAGGAAAATTCACCCACAGGGATATAAGACGTCTTCTCATTTATAAAAGGCTCAATGACAAATGATGTTTCTAAAACTCAGTTGGAAATACCGTTAGACAAATTGGTTTAAGAAGTATCCTTTAATTGCACATTCTGAATGTAGACAAGATAATTATTAGGTGAATAGATTTTAGGCAAATTAGCTTTTAGTAAATTGGTTTAGGGAAAATTGGTCTTTTGCTTTTTACATGTTCGGGGCATAGAAATAGAACCTGGAAGTTATCCCAGTGACTCCTCAGGGTGGACATTGGTTCAGATGCTGGATGGAACTGATGCATCCTGGCCTCCAGTGTTGTCATATTCCTGCCTCAGACAGCACCATACCCCAAGGAATTTAGCGCCCTGAGCCACTGATTCTCAGCTCCTTGTGTATGCCGAGCATTTTGGCAAGCTTTTTTTTTTTTGGAGATAGAGTCTTGCTCTATTGCCAGGCTGGAATGCAGTGGCACAACCTCGGCTCACTGCAACCTCCCACTCTCTGGTTCAAGTGATTCTGCTGCCTCAGCCTCCTGAGTAGCTGCGACTACAGGCAGCTGCCACCATACCTGGCTATATTTTGAATTTTTAGTAGAGACAAGGTTTCACCACATTGGCCAGGATGGTATCAGTCTCCTGAACTCATGATTCGCCCACCTCAGCCTCCCGAAGTGCTGGGATGACAGGCGTGAGCCATTATGCCTGGCTGGGAAGCATCTTAAATCCAAATGTCTGGCCCAGAGATTCTGGTTCTGCACATCCAAAGCAAAGTCCAGGAGCACAAACCTCCATCAGGCAGTTATTGCAGGTGTTCCAAGGACCCTACTCTGAGAAATGGTGCCCTTTTGTTCAGAGAAAAGGACAGAAGTTAGAGGCCAAGAGTTATTTTTGACTGTGGCTTTTTAGAAATGCAATGCTGGGCAGGGCACGGTGGCTTATGCCTATAATCCCAGCACATTGGGAGGCCAAGGCGGGCAGATCACTTGAGAGGTCAGGAGTTTATAAGACCAGCCTGACCAACATGGTAAAACCCCATCTCAACTAAAAATACAAAATTAGCCAGGCATGGTGACAGGCACCTGTAATTCCAGCTACTTGGGAAACTGAGGCAGGAGAATTACTTAAACCCGGGAGGTGAAGTTTGCAGTGAGCAGAGATTGCGACACTGCACTCAGCCTGAGCAACAAGAGCAAAACTGTCTCAAAAAAAGAAAAAAAAAAGACACTTCAGTGCAAACCTAGCAAATGCTATACCTCCTGAAGTGTTAAGGATTTTATTCCAGGGACCCTTAACTCATAGTCCTTCATTTGAAGACTCTGGTTCTCTATAGCAGGTGCTCATTTGTTTGGTCAGGAGAAAGAACCAGGAGGGCAGAGTGGAATTCTCTGCCTAGGAAGGGGCAGTGATTATATTGAGTTCTGCCCATCTTGTTAATCAATAGCTTATTGTAACATTCTACCACTTCTTGTCACTTCCATAGCCACCGTGCCTGGCTGCACTAAGGCTTCTAAGAGCCATGGAAGTGAACCCTTCAATAAGAGGAACTGGACAACGGTGTTGAGCTCTTCTGTGTCTCAGCACTTTGGAACTAGCTAGCACTGCCTGTTAAGTTCTGAACGTGGTGGCCTTGCACCATGTCCATGAGAAACAATAATGAACAGGATAAGCCCTCGGGAACAAACACACAGAAGCCTTGTGGTTATGACTGGTTTGCATTTTTGTGTTAGGGGAACAGTCTCTTCAGGTCCCATGAAATTAATAGAATTTTCTATGTCTTAGCTCTAGGATCAGCAAGTTAGTGTCCATATGCCACAACTGTGGGATCCTAAAACTGTCACCCATTTCAGGCTCATATCTCCCTCCTAGAGTATCTATTTCCAGGAAAGGTGTGAATTCATCCCACAGCAGATCATTGTAATTTGGCTCATTCTGTAAACACAATTTGCGTCTCTTAGGATGTGAGCTGGGCACTGAACAAGATGCTGAGCTTTGAGATACAATAATAAATTACACAGTCACTGTTCTTCAGGAGAGGAGACAGTTATGTAAACAGGAAGTGCAGCATAGTGTCTTCAGAGACCCTGTTTCGTCATCTGCAAGCATGAGATAGTCATGGCCTCTACCTCAGACTTGCTGTAAGGATGAAACTGGTTAGAATAAAAAGAGCACTGAGAATAGTATCTGGCACATGGTGAGCATGATAGAAGTCTCGACTGTCACGACTGTCGTCATTCCTGCCATCATCAACACAGACGTTACATTCGTCCACATTCCCACTGTCTTTCCACAGAGTGGGAAGAAGGATGTAATGATCAAGGAAGGCTTTTCGGGGGAGATTGTTTGTGAGCTGGATCTGAAGGGCGACAGGTAATTGACCAAGAAGACAAAACAGGGGAGAATATTCCAAACTGGGAGAAAGTGACATGCAAAGGCCTGGGGTCATGGAAACATCAGGCAGTTTAGGAAACTCAGCAGCTCGGGAGTGAGGGTGGATGGTGTGGGTAACGGTGAGAAAAGGGGTCTGGAACTAAAGGGGAGGTGGGGAGGCCGGGAGTGCTCCTCTCCAGCTCCGTAGTGGGATAGAGACAGGCATCTTGGAAGGTGAGGATCCTGGAGGAGGCTGGGGAAGACTGCAGCAGCTCTTGGGAGAATGGCCAAGGCCACCTGGTCAATTTTGTTGAGGGTGGAGACCCTGAATCCATGAGCCACCAAATAAGTAGGATCCACAGGAGAAAAGCAATCTGGACTGTAGGAAAGATTATGCTCTCGCTTTTCAGGTGCCGTAGATAAGGTTAATTCCAACAGGAGTAACCAGAGCAGGCTTCATAGAAGCACACAATGTGGACACAAAGAGATGAACCAAGCAGCAGCCAGCCCATGGAAGGCCTTGAATGATGTATCAGGAAGGTTCAGTCCATGGATGGGTTTGAAGCTGAGGAGCAACATGATCACATTTGTGCTCTAAGAATTGCATTTTGGGAGGACTGTGAGTTAAACTGGAGGAAGGCCACGTTCTAGGCAGATCATTGGAGAAGGATCTGTGGCCTCCGACATGGAGAGTCAGAACTGTGTGGTGCCCCCAAACGGTGTGCCAGTGTGGCATTGAGACTCCCCACTCCTCCCTGCTATGCTGTTCCAGACCGTGCTTCTCCCAGGCAAGCTTGCAACCTACAGGAAATTCATCCGGGTCCCTCTCCAATGCCAAATGATTTCCAGAAACATGGGGTACAGCAGCAGACTACAGCATCTCCCCAAAAATGGCCTGGGAACTAGTCTGACCATGGGCTCAAATGTGGAGCATCTCTAGGAAGCCTCAAATGGTGTTGTCATGGAACCCAGCGGGTGGTTCTAGGTAGATTCCAACAGCCTAGAGTGCCCTGGAGGGGCCTCCTTACTGTTTCAGCAGCCCACGCTTGAGTGTCCCCACCCATCCAGCAGTCACTTTCATCCTACCCCACTCAGGCACCCAAGCCAGGATCTGCAAAAACTAATCTTCACAAAGCACCCTCTCAAGGCAGGATGGTCGTCCCTAGGTGACAGATGAGGGAATTAAGGTTGGCAGCAGTAGAGGCATTTGCAGACTGACATGCTGTTGGTGCACTTGACCCTGGGGCTGGCTTTAAATCCCATGCCTGTTGGGAAGTGCCAGCTTTGAAAGGATCTATTCACATCATAATGGCAAAATTGTAGGCCTATATTGTAGACTAGCATGTATTAGTCTGTTTTCTGTTACTGTCACAATACCTGAGGCTAGGTAATTTATGAAGAAAAGATATTTATTTAGCTCACATCTCTGCAGACTGGGACATATGAGAAACGTGGTGCTGCTGTTGAGGACCTCCAGCTGCTTCCAGAGGAAAGCGGAATGGCAGCTTGTGTGTGTAGACAGCACGTGGCAAGAGAGGAAGCAAAGGAGAGAAACTGAGAAGCCCAGACTTTTTTAAACAAACCACTCTCCCTTGGGAACTAATCTGTTCCTGGGAGAGCTAGAACTCACACCCACCACTAATCTATTCAGAGGGATCCACACCCATAGCCCAGTCACCTCCCAGCAGGCCCCACCTGTTAAAGGTTCCACCTCCTGACATCCTTACATTGACAATTAAATTTCGCCATGAGTTTTTGCAGGGACACACTGCATCCAGACCATAGTTTCATATATCCTAGCAAAGGTTTCCTTGATGGTCCAAGGGTTTTCGTGAGCAGAAATGTTCATCACATGCCTCCTTCCCCCTGCCTCACTATCTGGGCTGCTCTCAGGTCTCCATCGGACATACTATGCATTGGACATCACGGATGTCTGGGTTCCTGAAGGCTCTTATGGTCAGTGCACTTGGAGTAGGAAACAAGAGTCAATGGATGCTGCTTGCTGAGTAGCATTCATCATGCTGGTATCTCCGATTGACACATGTTACCTGAAAGGCCCACCTCAATGGCCGCAGTCTCCAGATGAGTACATCTGATGTTCTGGGTTTCTTCTGATGCCCCCAAACTCACATCTGCCTCTCACCCTCTTTCTGCCACAGATCCTGGTGCCCCTGTGAAATTGCCTTGTCTGCCAGTGAAACTATCGCCTCCGCTACCTCCAAAGAAAGTCATGATCTGTATGCCTGTGGGGGGGCCAGACCTCTCGCTGGTGTCCTACACAGCCCAGAAGAGTGGCCAGCAGGGTGTGGCCCAGCACCACCACACCGTCCTGCCGTCCCAGATCCAGCACCAGCTGCAGTACGGCAGCCACGGCCAGCACCTCCCCTCCAGCACCGGCTCCCTCCCCATGCATCCCTCGGGCTGCAGGATGATAGACGAGCTCAACAAGACACTGGCCATGACCATGCAGAGGCTGGAAAGGTAAAGGCGGGCACCAGGAGGGAAGACAGGTGGAGAGGGGCTGGCTGGGGAGCCGGGCTTAGGGATTTGGACCATGACTTAGGAATGTGAACAAGGGCTCATCCCCACTGGAGGGAAAAGTTTGAAAGTAAAATAAGACAAAAAGACTGAAGGTCAAAGCATGGAAGAAAATAAATGTTGCCAACTGAAAAGCTCTAGGATAATCACATTTATCAGAAAGAAAAACTAACACACACACACACACACACACACACACAAGCATAGACATATGCTTTTATATATACATGCTTGTGTATATATGTATGAATATATGAATGTTGGTATACACACACACACATATATGCTTGTATATATACACAGTCCTCAGTGTCATCAATAGGTTCATGAAAATTGCAACCTCCATGAAATAAAATGTAACGAAACCAACTTCACCACAGGGTAATTGATATAAACAAGGCTTAAGTTCCTATGGCATATTTCTGGTCAAAAAAGTATCACCAAACTTCTAAATAAAGACCAGAACACTTTCAATATTAAACATTGAAATCAATATGAGCTGTACATACATTTAAGAGAGATTGATAAAAACAAGGAAGGTGACTACCCAGTTATTCCAGTTCAGAGTGGTGGCAAGCCAGAGTCTGTCCCAGTAGCTCAGGGCACAAGGCAAGATCTGGCTCTGGCCAGACATCATCCCACAGCAGGGTGCAGTCACACCCACACCTACACTCAGACCTAGGACAGTGTAGACACGCCATGTCACCTGGTGTGGACATCTTAGGGATGTGAGAGGAAATCTGAGTACATGGAGAAAACCCGTGCAGTCATGGGGAGAATGCAAACTCCACACAGAAGATGGCCCCAGCTGGGAGTCAGCTTTTTTTCCTCATCAATGTTATGGCAAAATGGCATTGAATGAAATTACCTTATTCAAGGACCTGCTGTATATCCATCTATGTATATATGTGGGTGTACACACATACATACACATGTACATACACACGTGCACATATTATGTCTCTATAAGCATTAACATTTTGTAAAAGAATATATGTATAGACCAGGTACAGTGGCTCACGCCTGTAATCCCAGCACTTTGGGAGGCTGAGTCAGGTGGATCACCTGAGGTCAGGAGTTCAAGACCAGCCTGACCAATATGTTGAAACACTGTCTCTACTAAAAATACAAAAATGAGCCGGGCATGGTAGTATGCACCTGTAGTCCCAGCTACTGGGAAGCTGAGATAGGAGAATTGCTTGAACTCGTGAGGCAGAGGTTGCACTGAGCCGAGATTGTGCTGCTGTACTCCAGTCTGAGTGACAGAGCAAGACTCCATCCCAAAAAAAAAAAAAAAAAGAATGTATATATATAGTCAATAATAGCGTTTACCCCTGGGGTGGTGAAATGGGGAGAAAATACTTTTATATTTCACCTCTGTCTATACTGCCTTTTAGTTCTATGTATATTACTTTTATGATACTCAAAAGAATTCAAATGTGAAAGAAGATAGGGGATGGCAGGTGTTGGAAGGAAACAGGAGGGCTGGGAAAGGTGGAAAGATACACTCTGTTCTTGCTGATGGAGGAAGCAGAGTCCCAGGGTCTGATTATAAGCGCATGTGCCACTAATACTTGGCCACTACCAGGACAGCTCCCTCTCTCACCAGAATCGGCCTTCTACCGCTCTTCAGGGAGAGCTGCAAAGATGACCCCACAGGCAGGCCTGCAGCAATGCCCCTAACTCCTCACCTAGGGAGATCGCTCAAACTGGTTCTGAATTACTCTTGATTGTGTGTGCGCACATGATGGGGTGTGTGTGTGTGTGTGTGTGTGTCTCTGTGTGTGTATTCTCAAACACCACCACCTACCTCAGATCCAAGAAGGGACTGGGATTCCAGTTGTGGCTCTAGGGCATGTTGTTTCACTTAGTGCCCTGATGTGACAAGGAGAAAGTGTGTGTATCAGGTTCAAAGAGTATGTCTGACTGGGAGCCGAATGCTTGCCCCATAGTTGTGGCTACTGGTCACTGGGTCCTATGGATGGAAAATTGTAGTCTGGAGGTCCAGCAAATCACCAGAAAGGCAAAACCAAGATGCACAGGCAGGAGCTTCTGGGTGTGTTTTCCTGACTCTCAGTGGCTTTCTCTGCTCCTGCCTCTTAGCTGAGTATTCTGCATTTGGGAAATGAGTGATTCGCTGGGAGGCTGCTGTGTCTGGATTTCTGACTTGATTACTCGGTGTTAACGCCTGCCCTTGCTACAAAAGAAAAAAACAAAACTTAATTTGGCCCCTTGCTATCATTTGCAGCTACTCTTGTTATTAATTTGGGTGGCACCTTTTAATCTATTACACATACACGTTGTTGTCACTGTCATCATCATCTTATTAAATCCTCACATCACCTACGGAAGCTGAGTATATGGAGAAACTAAGGGAGGGTCGCTAAGTTTCCCAAAGCCACCTTCTCAAAGGGGAGCCCACAAATGGCTTAACTCACATCTGCAATCACGTAAGTGCAGACGTTGAGAACAAGCTTTTAGATACTCTTACAGCAATCGGACAGAATAATTTCATGTCTGTTGAATCTTGACATTAAAAAGGGCTTCATTATTTTCTCATTCGTTATATTTTACAAAAGCATCAGTTTTTGATGGATTAAAAATTTAAAGAACTAAACAGTAAGAACTGTTTCTTCCCTGTAGACGTTTGGAAAACATTGCCCTAGGTAGCAAGTTGAGAGGCCAACCGTCTAGCCTGGGACTTCCCTCTCCAAGCCCAGAGCTCTTTGTACTAACACACAGCTGCTTCCTAAAGACAAGCAGCAGTCAACATCATTGCCCACTCCATGTCTACATGCACGCAGTAGGTTTTTGTATTTCTCATGAGCTTCAGTTATTAGAAAAGATACTCGTGATAGCATGTTAATAGGATATTGCTAAATATGCTTCCACTTTAAAAAACCGTATTAAAAGGTTCAATTAAAGATGCTAACTAACAAGTTTTATTATATACGTGGGTATTCATGGAATATTTCAGTTTAATTTACATCAATGGGCAGATCTAGTGGGATATGGGAATTTTGGGGGGAGGGGTTTTGGGATATGCAGCATGATCTGGCAGCAGAGCCAAGGCAGTCTCTGCTTTGTCCCAACCCGGATGCATTTCCTCCTCCTTTCTCCCTCACTTCACACTCGAGGTCAAAGCATAGGATTGTCCTAACAGACCAACCAGGCTGCAGAGATTTATACATGCATCACTTTGACAAGATCACCACCCTAGAGAAAGAGAAGCTTTCTTCCCAAAGGCCACCCCAGAGGCCTTCTTTCCAAATAAAGATTGGAGAGATTTTTCTGAATGTCCCCATCATCTCCAGGAAGAATCTGAGAGTAGGCCAGGGTCACAGGCCACACTGCTCAGTGTAGGGAGAGAATCACCAGCTGTTTTGGATAATTTCCCCCTGATTTTTACTACTTAAAAATGCTCCTTGTTGCCTGCCGATGTGATTTCATTCTTGTTTTAACAAAGTTTTATGCAGAAAGAAAGAATCATTTTTCTGTCCTTTTGGCAATTTCCAGTGACCCCAAAAAACTCTTCAAGAAGGGAGAGACATTACCAGACACTCAGGTATCCTGCCTACAAAGTTCCTTGGATCAACCCCCTTATTCGTGCCATTGCTGCCCCCTGAAATCTCAGAGAATGTCACTGTAGGGCATCGGTCCAGATGGACAGTCTGATCCTGATGAAAAAGCTATAGGAGTGTAAAAACTCGCGTGGTGAAGTAAACAGCATCAATGCTGTTTGGACCATACATTTGGACAAATCATCTTATCATTGAAAGGGGCCTTGAAGACCATCCAGGCCACCAAGCCCCTGCCCACAGCAGTGTTCCTGACCGTTGATCCTCTGGTCTCTGTTCCAACAGGACCTCTTCCAGGTCCCAAGATAGCCTGCTCCATTGTCAGGAAGGTCCAACTGTTACAAAGTTCCCACTCTTCTAAAACTTTTACTGATGAAATTTATATCTGCCCCTTCCCCAATCTTATTTCTATTCTTCCTTTCCTGTGAAAGGCTTTTAAATCTTTGAAGATAGCTACCATTCTCTTCATCTAAGAACTCCTCTAGATCTTATACCATCTTGATCATTTTCCCCTGAGATTATACCAAATCTCCTCTGTTTTATATGAAGTTATTTGTTATTTATATTTTTTATTTTTGAGACAGCAACTCATTCTGTTGCCCAGGCTGCAGTGCAGTGGCATGATCATGGCTCTCTGCAGCCTCAACCTTCCAGGCTCAAGCAATTCCCCCAACTCAGCCTCCTGAGTAGCTGGGACCACAGGTGCATGCCACCACACCCAGTTAATTTTTTAAAAATATTTTTTGTATTAGAGACTGAGGATTGCCTTGTTGCCCAGGCTGGCATCAAACTCATGGCCTAAAGTGATCCTCCTGCCTCAGCCTCCCAAAGTTCTGGAATTACGAGTGTGAGCCACGGCACCCGGCGTAGAAGTTCTTTGCCCTGCCTAAATCTGCTTGATGGCACCGAACAGTGATGTGGTTATTTATAGCTTTGTCTCACAAGATTTGGGAGAAGGATCTAGTGTCCACTCGAAGCAAATTTAAAGGGTCATATTTATTTAAAATCGCAGGGCTGCCCTGGGCAGTAGGGGCCAAGCTGGCGGCAGTAATCACCCCCACTTCAGTTAGTTCCAGAATTAACTGCCAGAGTTTGAATCTTAAACACACCACATGTTAGCTGTGTGACCCTAAGCGTGTGGCTCAACCTGTTTGATTTTCATGCCTTATCTGTAAAGTAAAGATAATAATGCCAGTAGCCTCATTAGGGTTATTGATGAGGATCAAATTATTTAATGAATCCCAATCAATGGGGTGATTGCATGGTACATAGTAAGCAACTAACAAATGCTATTGAACATGAGCTAGCACATAGCATTTGTCTTCAGTGACCCTAGGGCAGTTTTGATCCAGTCTTGTTGGAGAT